CGCCACAAGGTAGGATCTAACATGTATCCTTACCTGTGCTCGGTCGGATTCGGTTCGGCTAGCCCTCCAACTGCTCTCTAGGCGTCTTTTCCGGCGTTTCATCTCTCTCAGCTCCTCCGTAAACCAAGGGGCCAGTTGAGATCTGCGCCGGGTCAGAGGCCGCAAAGGCACGACTCGGTCCAGTGCCGCGGCAGCGGCTTCTTCCCAAGCCGCCACCTGATTTTCCGCCGAGTCGTGAACTAGATCCTCTGGATATGGCCCAAGCTCCGTCAGGAACCTCTCAGGGTCCATCAGGCGCCTGGGACGGAACCATCTACGCGGTTCCGTCTCCCTGCGGCGGGGGGAGCGGTCCGGAAGTCCATCTTCAGGAGTAAATGATCTGACCATGACAATTATTATTATTTATTAAATTTATATCCCGCCCTTCTCCTTGTGTGAATATGGAGCGACACAGAGTCCAGCCTATCTGATGGTATGTCGGCTACCACCAGAAACATGTACTGATAATAACTTATTTTTGGCCAACAACAAAGCCAAGAAGGTGGCTTAATTCTAGCAGTTTAATGTTTGATATAGACATGGAAGAAGAATGGCAATCAAAATGGTTGTTGTAAAACAAAATAATGAGAAATCATTCCAAGATTTCATCAAAACTCTTGAATTCTATTTCGTCTATTAGTTTCAGTGGTATTGTCAGTTTGCATACATAGACATACAGAAACAAACTACATGTTATTATATTATCTGATAAGAAACTTCACTGAAGCACCTACTTTTGAATAAATCTGAATATTGCACTGTAAGTAGGAACTGGCATTGTATGATCAAGGTTTAATTTCACTATCATTCTCAAACATAACTGTGTTGAAAAAATATGGTCATAAGTCTTTGGAGGTTTCTGGCACATATCCTGAAGCCAATCCTTCCAAAATTCTCCTTATGTTATCACTCTGTACTTCTGGTGAATGCAGTTGAGATAACTCAGGAAAGCTGCCAAGCTTTCATTTACTATACAGTCAAACTGAGTTTTTCATTGTTAGCAGGCTGATACAGTACTGAGACAAATGTTTTCATGTAGATATGTACTACATTTGGTCTGGCAGGTTGGGCACATTGCAGGAATGTCAGTTGCCAGGAACTAGGAGGCATGCCTTCTCTGCTGTGTAGAACCTATCCTCTGGAATATTCTCCCTTCACGTATCAGGATGACTCGAACCCTATTGGACTTTTGCAAGGCAGTGCAGACTTAGTTGTATGCTTAGGCTTGAGGCCCCAAGTGTGTTAAGGGTCCCATTTATTCACTGTATTAAAATATATAGAAACAGTCTTACTTGATGCCATATATATTTATTTTCTGCTGTTTTGATTGCTTTGTTTTTCATTTTTTTATTTTATGATGTATGCCACTAAGAGTCATTTGTTGAAATAGATAGATAGATAGATAGATAGATAGATAGATAGATAGATAGATAGATAGATAGATAGATAGATAGATAGATAGATAGATAGATAGATAGATAGATAGATACCTTCATAGCCTCCAAATGTCCTTTAATGTGTCACCCATTTATATATTCCTATTCCTAGTGGTCAGTGCAATCAAACATAGAATCTTGACTCCTTGATTCTGACTTCTGAATTGACCCTTTATAATGGAAATTTCCACACTATGACCTGAGAGTATGGGAAACATCCTTTGGAGAGAGGGGTCTACTACATCTATGCTCATATCAGAGCTGGCCAAGTGAATAAAAGCACTAGTGAGCACCTCACTATAACACATAAAATAGGTATAATTTCATTATTTATATTCTCTGCTCCCACCCCCACCAACAGCAACATTCTGTATTTAGCTTCCAAGATTTGAATCTTTTGGACAACAGTTTTGAAGATACCTTAAGTCCAGGAATAATTAGATAAGAAAACCAGCTAGAAGTATGGCCTGTGGACTACTGAAATGGAGACCTGGATACTTTGATTAATTATCTGAATTGAGGACAAACTTTCCATTGGTTTTGCTGGAACACTCTGATATTTTTGAAAAAATCAACCACAGAGTAGGCAAGCTATTTCTCCAAGTATTTTGGAGTACAAATATTTTGAAGTACAACACTCATAACTCCAGTAGCATAGCTAAGTGACCAGGACTGGCATGTATTTTAAATATGGCACTGGAGAACCTTTGTTCAATTCCTTGGTCATTAGTCTATGTGATTCAGTTTGTCCATCCTGTTTTTAACATTATTTATCATCAAAAACATAAAATGTTCTCTGAGCTGTGGTCAGTTTGGTATGGGGAAAATTATCAATTTTGATTTTCTGCAGTTCATTACTTTTCTTCACTTGGCCTATTTTAGAAGGAAGGAAGGAAGGAAGGAAGGAAGGAAGGAAGGAAGGAAGGAAGGAAGGAAGGAAGGACATTTTTTGTTTGTTCATTTACATTTTCTCCATTATAGACATTTTTGCATATATATGCTATCAAAAAGCAAATATATCACTCTTACAAGCTCCAATTCAACAAGCATACTACTGTAACTGTGGTTAGAAGACCCTCTAGTATCATTCAGCTGCTGTAACTCCCAACTTTCCACACAGCACTAAAATGGCTGAAACTCCATCTCTACTGTTGTGTGTTCTCCTTTACTATGTTAAAGGATGCCTGTTACTTGACTGCAGCCTCCTTATCCATCTCTTCTGCCAGCAGGAGGAGTGACGACTCTACATCCAGTCTGCTAATATAGTACTATTGACAGGAAGTTGAGCACCTGGAATTTGTGCAATTGCCATCTGGCAGGGAAAAAATATTTCTCTTTTAAAAATAAAGACAGCATTGTGTTTTCTGTGAAAGGATTTTGGCAGTTTTGAGAGTGATTGATTGATTGATTGATTGGCTGATTAAATGGGAGGGGTTCACTTTTTAGAAACCTCATGCTGTCATTTATTCGCCTCTTAAAATGTATAAAATAGGAAAGCACAACAACAAAAATCTCTTCCAATATTTCCATAGATGTCCTCATTCATCTAGGGATGCCACCTGTGGCTCTAGGTATTGGAGAATCAAGCTGAGCACCAATCCAAAGAAAGTCCCTCTTTTTTGTAAAGAGTAGAAAGGCTCTTAAGGTATAGGGGGTAAATTTCTATCAAACACTTGAGAGAGGGGCATGGGCTTCTGAAAATACATGTAAAACATCTCAAACGAACATAGAAAACATACTCAATGTCTATAGCAGGGGTCTTCAAACTTGGCAACTTTAAGACTTGTGGACTTCAGCTCCCAGAATTCCTCAGCCAGCCCTGGGAGTTGAAGTCCACAAGTTTTAAAGTTGCCAAGTTTGAAGATCCCCTGATCTATAGAATACTTGGGTGAAGGTTCAGAACTTCCCCTGATAATCAACAGAGAATAACAGCCTATGGTCAGTTGGACAGGAGCAAATGATTTATTCAGATCATTCTCAAGTCATAGAGGTCATACATTTCTTCCTCCTAAAAATAAGATATCAGACCTGTAATAGATTCCATATGTGTCATTGTATTTAATTCTATGATCACTGCTTCACGTTGCCTTGAGCTTCAGTTTGTAGGAAGGCAGAATACAGATGTAAAAAGTAAACACAGTCTGATTCCTTTCACCTGACTCTCAATCTTTCAAATTTCTAAAGAGCTGTGACTAACAGCCAGGCCATCAAAACATTTTCCTCTTACTGTGAACTTGATTTTTCAGTTAGGCTGGGATGTTATTATTTTTCCATTGAAATATAATCAGTAAAAGTCTTACTGAATGTGTGGTTGGATGTTTCATAGATACAAATTATTATTTGAATTGTCATGTGATAAAAGGATAAAAGTATCTTTGTGTTGGCAGAATCTGCATTAATTTGGAATATTCATTATTATAATGCACAGCCTCAAAGTGGCAACACCACCAAACATTGGTCAGCTATATCTTTTCCCATAAAAATTTATATTTAAATTAAAGCAACATTACCTGTGTAGATAAATCTTCCAGGTGTGCCTTTACAGAACTGCTTGGATTTATAGGACAATGTAACTTCCACAACACCAGGAATATGTCGGGGTGGTGTTTGAACTCTGATAGCATGTGGTGTAATAAGCTAGAAGAAATTGTAAGAATAGAGGAAATTGGTTAGATATGGAATAGTTATGTAATAAAACATTCTTTTCAGATCACACAACAAAGCTTTAGAATATATAATTAACCTGTCAGTGTTTGAATGTATTCTTGGAATAACTAGCATAAAAGCCAATGACAACAATATTTGCAAATGTTATTTCCCAGACATTATTATATTAGCTCTGTTTTCATACACAGCAAGCATTTATTTCGGAGTATGAGAATTTCTTGTGACAAACCACAACTTTTGATTGAACCAACTTGCAGTTTTTATACTAATGAATCCCACAGGATCTCCATTTTGCTCCCCTAGCATATGTCAGATCCTATATGAGTGTCCTATTAGAAAACTATCACACAAAAAGGGCTTTCTACATTTCAGTGAGGGCAATGAAAATGATAAGCATATATGTTTTTTCTCTGACAACACGTATTCAGAGTGCTTAACTTTAATATATTTTACACTGTTTCACTGCATTATCCATGATGCAATAGGGAATTCCTTTGTTGTAACAGTTCATCACTATTTTTCAGAATTAGAATTCCTACTGAAATCACAAATCTATATTATAACATTGTTCTGTGCAGAATATTCCATGAAACAGAGAGAAGCCCAAGGCTGACCTCATATACTTCTTCTGTTTCATCTGGGAGATTCTGGTTATGATTTAAAATATATATTATAGCTTTTGAAGTATTAATTGCATACTGCTGTATGTCACTTTCACAAGTCTGGTCACAAAATAATAACTGCAATATGTAGATGTGTGTCTCTCTATACCAGGAATTAGATATGACTTTAACAGCCTTTCTCATTTGAGATTTTTAAATAAATTATTCTACTGTAATATTACTTCATCTGCTTCAAATATTTTCTTTTAACTCATTGGGGAATTGCAGTGGATTAAATGTAAAGTTAGAAAAAAGTGTCTCTAAAATTCTGAGCATGTGGGTCTTTCTGTAACAACACAGAATGTTAATTTTCGTTTGACACATTTCAGCTTTATTCTATGACCTGTAATTATCATAGCTATTGTTGCATATGTTATGCATTTTAAATAGTTATTGTTGGTTCTGTATCACTTTACCTTGAGCTACAGAAGTATAACCAACTTATCAAAATTAGTTTGGGCTATTATAAGAAAGTCACCATGCTCTAACTAGTCCTGCTAGTTGACACTTAACACACCATTATATGATCATGCAATATTTATAATATAACTGGCTTCGAGGTTCATGAATTGTTCAATCTGATATTACTGGATGGTTTTATCTAACAATTGTTCTACAAATGAGGGAAGATTCAATTTTTAACATAAAAAAGAAATTATGAACAAAAGTAATCCATATCCCTGAAATGATCAGGAAGAAGTGACAAACAAAACCTTGTGAACTATGAAGAATAAATTTTAAAATAAATTATCCTATGTGTTTTTCATTGCAGGTCCCTTTATAGATAATCTACCACTAAGTTCTTTTCTAGTGTACACCGAGTTTTCTGGCAATCACGATCCACCCTCATTAGAGACCATGTACCTGTAGAGATTATTCCTAACTTCACGATCTCAGAATTGGTGAGCAGCAGTGGCATAATCACTGTACTCTGGAAAGATTCCCAATTCAGATCTCAGTTTGAATAAATCATCAGTTTTGCAAATGCCCTCCCTCCTCTGGAAGCTTCCCTGCCAGCTGAGTCATCAGCAAATTACAGAAGAACGTTTGGGCTATTTAGTTATACCTATATATTCTCCCTTCTATCACTATCTTGGAGGGTAAATTATTCATCTGTGGGTTCATGGGGAAGGATTCTGATGGGAAAAGTGAAAGAATAAAGGGCTAAAGGTTTGCCTTTTTCTTTCATATCATTGTCTCAATTCAATTTCCCACACCCACCCCACATATATTGGCTACTTATTTAACTAAAATCTACTATGGATCTCCCAACTGCAGACTTCACAATTACTATGCAGGCTTGAAATACAGGGACTTTAAAAGAGCCCTACTGGAAATGTCTAGTTCCATTAGTTGGTTCTAACAATAACCAGCTAGATCTTTCAATGAAGTCAGCAAAGAAGGCATAAAAGAATAACCTTGCCCCATTGTTTGTCATTAGCATCTGTAATTCAGGCATAATTTGCCTTTGAACCTGGAGAAGATTTCATTTGACACTTATATGAGCTATCTAACTTAAAACAAACAAAAACCACAAGCCAGCAGCCATTGTTACATCACATGACAATGAATTTCATATTTTTATTAATCATACACAGGAATACAAATATATAACTAACCAGATTCAGGATGACAGATGTATGACACACAAATGCACATTAATCAAAAAAATTAAAGGCCATTTAGGGTTCCATATCTTTAAGCACCCAGGCATAATGTATGTGCAGCAACAGCCCTTTCTCATTTTAACAATTAATTATTCTAGCTAATATCTGAATTTTAATCCGATGTATATATGACAGCCAGTTTGGAACATTAGTTCAAGTACTGGATCAAAAACTAGGAGACAGTGAGTTCTAGTCTTCTCTTAGACTTTAAAGCTGGCTGGGTGACCTTGGGCCAGTCGTTGCCTCTCAGCCCATCCCACCTTCATAAAGTTGTTCAGATGGGGAAAATAGTACGTAGGAACATTACATATGTCACTTTAAGTAAGTAAGATAGAAAGCTAATGATATAAATATATTTAATTTTTGTTAAAAGTATATATGTGTTTATGCTGTTCTGCTTGGCTGATTGTATACAAAATATAGACCAACTGAACATAGTTTCTCTTTTCTTTTTTAAATGTGATTTTTTTTTAAAAAAAAATTATTATGACAATTTAATTGGAGATTAATTGAAAACTCAAGTATCTGTGTTTTCATACGCAATTAGCAAGGCAAATTATGCTCTGATTCATTCCTCCAAGTGAAAAAGGTTGTAATTATGTTATAGAATCTATACCAGAAATATATGTTTAAATAATAAATATGTAGCCCAAAATAATTTTAAATCAGCATAGTTAACATGTTGTGTCTCCTATTTTCCATATGCTCAATTAGCAGAAGTCCTATTTTCTTTAATGAAACTCAAACCAGCATAGTGTTTAAAGAGAAATGACTTGATAATCAGTTTCCACTTCATGCGTATAAATACTGTAATTACAAAGCTTGAATACATGGGAAATAAAATTATAATATTTATATTGCAAATTGAGAAATAGGAAAAGAACACTATTTCAGAAATGAAACTTTGGTCTGTTTCTTATTTCTCAAATATATCCTTAAATACAATTGTTATACTTTATAGAGGCAGATAGGTGTCAAATAAGGATGTTTTAACATTTCCTTCTATCAGTTATTTAGTTCTATTTAGCAGTGTTTCATTCTGGACTGCAATGAAAAGTGAATGAAATTTATTTCTAGGCTTTTTAAAAATTTAAATGTCATTTAATGATCATTTCTGTAACCCAGAAAAGATTTAAAAAGTATTAATTCTAAGATTTAAATAAAAATGACTTGCTTATACAGACACCATTTTGTTCTGGCCTAGCTTTGTTTTGAAAAAAGTCCAAACTATGTTAAACAAAGAATAATATCTCCTATTACTGAGATTCTTAATTATCCATGCTACAAATAGAATCATCTTCTAAAGCCAATAGCAATTATCTAGTTACCAGGTCTTACTTGTCAATCAAACCCCTGGACAATTCACAATGTTATTGTGCCATTCACATTTTTATAAACATGTTAAAATGATCCATAATATTTTAATGGAAATCAAATAACCATACATAAATACAAAACTCTTATGCAATCGGTGTAAATATTTTTTTTTCCTTTTTGTAATTCTGTATTTTGCAATTTTTGTCTTGGTGTTTAGCTTCTTCAATAAAAAAGCAATAAACATACTACGGGCTTAATCCTGCTATCAGAAAAATCAATATATGATGTTTTCTCTTATTTTGGTTTGTGTATCTCTTAGGGAAAGCTCCTTAAAACCAATTTCTAAAACTGGAGTGTGCACTTAAGTCTGCAAAAGATAAATATGAATACTCATTGTGACAAATACATAGCTAATAACTGTTCAATGGTTTGGGTGTGGATATAATTCATAAATATTAAATATTATTTTAAGGAAATGGTACAGTTGTATCATCTAATATGGAATAGCACATCAAAGGCCTTATGAAATGCATAATCAGATAATTTGATTTTACATAGTTGATGCAAATATAGGTATCTGATTGATTCACTGATTGATCATAATTTTGCAATTGTCCTATGTAAGAACAGGACATTTGAACATATGAAGTTGTAATTGGATGTCAGGTCTATGCCCATTAAGCCAACAATTCTAGTGTTATTATAACTGAAAACAACCCTCTAAATAGTTCTGATGAAATAACTGGATACTCTGGGAAATGAACCTAAGCTACATTTATATGCAATGCATCATCTCAGCCATTTCAGTGGCAGCACCTAATAGCATGCCAGACTGAAGCCCTATTCTAGTTTTTTTCTCACAAATTTCTGCACCATATAGATCAGCATCCATAGCTTTCCATAGCACCCATAACTTCTGATGCCTGACACATGTCTCCAAATTGAATGTATAAATGGCTAATGCCTGAAAATGTCCATATCCAGGAACTTTGAATATGTCACTAGAGATTAGCACAGGCAATCAGAAGGAATTTTTCTCCCTTCTGAGATCTCCATATTTGGGGAAATAGACATAAAATGTTTGTCCATCAAAATTATCAGACATAAAATGTACTTGACTGCATTATGTACATTTTGAAGCGTGTCTGTTTGGGACGGGTTTATGCCCCATGTGTACTCACAGTTGCTTCTGAAATTGCCATTTTTATCATAATTGGACTAAGTAATTGCATGAAGGAATAACAGATAGGAGCACACATTTAAACCAGTTTGTAAAATGGACATTAAGTGGTGGTATAAAAAAGAGAGGAAAACTGCACAGAGCGATCAAAGAAAAAAATAAACAAGAAATGAATATAGTAACAGAACAGTACAAGAGTCAGTCTCTCGTTTTAAAAAGGGGAGACTGAGGACTAAATTGTTATGGTCATCAAAGAAACCATAGTTCACATTAAAGTAAGCTATGGTTTCTGATGTTGGAAATAACCATTTATTTATCAGGACTGACAGATGTCTATGGAGAGTGTCAATCATCCAGGCCTTGGTTGTCCCAAAAGTGCTTTTTTCAAATGGTAACTGGGCTTGGTTTTTCCTTGAAGATTTCGCTTCTCATCCAGGAAGCTTCTTCAGTTCTTCAGATGAGAAGCAAACATATATTTCTTCTTGGATGAGAAGCAAAATATCTTCAAGGAAAAACAAAGTCCAGTTGCCATTTGAAAAAGCACCTTTGAGACGATCAGGACTGACAGTTACTCCTAATTAGATTATTTGCAGCACTGCAGGCATGTTCACAGATTTATTTTTTTAAATGTGAGTACGTTGGATAGATTTCATAAATAAAGACATAAATATAAACAGGGACAACTGAGATGTGCCACAGGTCTCTGTAATGCCCTGGTTGTTTAAAATATGAAGAATTAGAAAGCATTCACTTTGTTTCTACACCACATTTCCTAAAAGAAAGAAAACTGGCTATAAACCAGACATGGTTATTGGATATTAATTTGCAGAGAACACCTACCTCACTCCAGACCAGCATGGTGCCAAATATGACCTGTAACCCATCAAAGAAATTGTCTCCTATGATGATGACAGTGGCACCTCCCGTAGTCCATCCTTCACTTGGACTGATGGCTTTGATACAGGGTGTAGCTGCTTTCCAACACACATGAAAAAAGAAGGATTTGGCTGTTAGAACAAGATTTTAATGACAAAAGACCTTGGGGTGGGGGAGAGAGAAAACTTTAATTACCCCCCCCCCCTTTCTAACATGAAAATCCCTTTCTGTGTCTGGCTCACACCGTCCCCCTCTTTTGTGGAAGAAACATTTCCAGAACTGGTTCTTGAAAAGAGAATGATTCTCCATCCATTTTTTAATTTTGTTCCTATTTTTTTCCTCTTTAAAAGATAATATCAGTTGGCAGCCCATTGAAAGAAAAGAGCAGATTTGCTGCTTGAAGACTGACTGGCTGGAGAAAAGAGTGCATTTTTCAAATTCTTAGTTTCCTGCCTGTACAAAATATGACCCTGCCTTCTTTTTTGAGATTCATCATACAGTAAAGGACTTAGATGTTGCTTCGGTAAACCTGCTTCATGATTATAATGTTTTTCATGGCAAATAGCCATGTCGTATCATTATGTTTAAATAATTTTGGCACTTTGCAGTCGTGAAAATATATACAGAGCATATTTGGAAACGCAACGGATCTCTGCAAAGATTTAGGGGGAAAATGGATAATCTTTTAAAAATATATCATTACATATCAGAAAATGAAGTTACAGCCCTATTTTTAATCATATTTTGTTAGCAATAACGTACATTTTAATGAATCCAGAGATGGTAGGTTTTATAATATTGACTAATTTTTGAAAGGATGAAACTTAATTACCAATCAACTGATGAGAGTGCAGAAATCTAGAAAATTTCTCTAGCCTAGTTATAATGAGTTTGTACAATCCTAGAGTTAATCTAAACAGTGGTAGCTTGAACTAAATTACCAAGAATTGAGCAATTTCCATTTATATATCCTTTTTAACTTTGCACTTTAGGCATTGTGAGCAAAAGTGACATCTGGGCCATTTTGGGTATATTTTTTGGTTCAAAAACTACTAAAGTTTTTCAGGGCTCCACCTTCAGGTCTAATTCAGAGATGGCAAAGCTTTGTTATGCCAAAGCTGAAAGATGATTCACTGTTATTCTTTCTTTTATCTATCTTATTCTCTGCATGACTGCCATATTAAGCACATCTTCAAGTAAAAACCTATCTGTGAAAAGGAACATTCCTAAAATCATCCATCTTTGATCCTTCTTATTGTATATACAGTAAATCTCATTGTGAGAGGAATCCCAGAAAAACATATGAAGAAAAAGAGGAAAAATTTAAGTTAATTTATGTTAATAAATCAAGCCTAAGAAGAAGAGCCATACTTTCCCCTACTTCATCCCTTCTGTCTTTGTAGACTCAGAGTAGGGGGGGGGGAAGGCTGTTAGATGGTTTCTAAGGATATCTAAAAGTTGGATATGTTTGACCATTGCGGTTTGATTATTGCAATGCGCTTTGCATGGAGCTGCCCTTGAAGACCACCTGGAAGTTTCAATTGGTCTAGAATATGGTGGTGAAATATGCCTCAGTATACCTGTGTACATTCCTATTACCCAAACTGCAATATTTGCCAATCTGCTTCTGGGTGCATGGTCCAGTTTCATCCAATTAAACAATGCCATCTACTGTTTGTATAGTTTTTCATGAGGTTTTTTGTGTGAACAAGAGTAATTGGGAGTTGAGTGATGGACAAATTGAATGAATAAATATATATTTCTTTGATGGAAATAAGCAATGGGGTCCTTCAATGGGCAGGATAAACAAAGTCAAATGCATTCCTCTGTGAATTATGGACACATCCATATACGGTAAATTTCCTAGAATTATTATCTAAACAGCTTGCTCTTGTCTTCTAGGTTATTTTTTTTTTACTTCCCAGTCTAGCCTAAGTTTGGAATTTGCTTGGTGATCTTCTATCCTAGCACTAACTAGATCTAACCCTCCTTCAAAATCAGAAAAAAAAAATAGCTGGAAAATGCTAGAAGATCAAATTTCTCTTCCTACATATTCCTGAAATCTGCTCTGAATGGCTTGGGGACTCCTTGGAGAATATATGATGTGTGGATGAGAACTAGAGGAGGAGAAGAAGTAAGGAAATTCCTTCTATGCATACACAAGTTTGCTCATGTTGTGTTGGGCTGAGCTGCATCTCTCAAGGGACTATATAATCATCTTGTCCCAAGATGAGCTTCCCTGTCTAGACAATGCGACAAATTCTTTGAGAGTTGAATTAAAGTTATGCTGTGTTGTGTAATGACTATATGCAGGACTTTGGTAGATCATGTGTATTTAAATTAGACTAGAACCCAAATCCTTATTGTCTAATATTTAGACATAGGTATTTAGATATGGAAGCTAACCAGATAGAATTGTTATGTATATGTTATGCATGCACATGTGTGCTTGCATGCCCATGCAAACATGCACACACATACACACACAGGGTGATTGCCCTCCAAGTAAAGAGAATGACTGAGTAACCTTCAGGTATTTACAGTACATTCAAATACAAATGATATGGGGAGAATGATACCATTGGGGCCTAAGTTCAATCCCATTTATGTGCACATTTATAACCACGTGCAAGTTCCTTCTTCCCAGACTCAATTCCAGTTAAAAAAAAAAAATGAGACTACAGACCCAGGACATAGGGTTTGTCTGAAGATAAATAGACTTGAATGGATTTTGCATATGGGGAAAATGGTAATAGAAAATACTTGAGTTGTTTTTATATACAGGGTTTATTTGAACGCAGCTGTTTAATATGAAGTTGTTTGTTGAAAAATGTGAAACAAGTCATTTGTTCCTTTCCTTCTCGTACAGACAGAAAATAAATAGCAATGTAAATAAATATTAAGCAGACAAAGAAAAATACCATTAATAGAATTTTTAACCATTCACTGGTTCTTTCTGCATTCTACCATTGCACAAAGGATAAGGCATGCATATGTGTGTGTGTGTGTGTGTGTTCTCTTAATGCAGCCAGTTAAGATAAAGTTGTCAATGAACTTTGTCATGATATTCAGTGCTTCTTTTTGGCTAGAAAATTTTTTAGGATATAAGAACATAAATAATTTGTAGAAGCAATCCATTATGATACTTTAGAAAGATAATTTTGCAGATTTAAGGAGATTAATAATCTCTTAAACATTCACCAAATTTAATGATCATAGAACAAATAATACTGAATATTTTCATGCTTTCTGTAGTAGTATCATAGAATTGCTGCTTGTTTGTGAATCTACAGAGGAAGGAAGGAAGGAAGGAAGGAAGGAAGGAAGGAAGGAAGGAAGGAAGGAAGGAAGGAAGGAAGGAAGGAAGGAAGGAAGGATCTGAGCCTATTAGATCAGCCTATCCTTGATAATTGATGGACCCAATTGGGTTTCAGAGGGAGTCTGAGGTTGTTCTGGGAAGTCTTCAACATGATCCAAATGAAGCCTTGGTGGTCACATGGAATGAGAAACAGGTCTTAGACTGGATTAGATTGTGCCTGAGCAGCCTCTCCATATCCATGGTTCCCACACTCTTTGTGGTATACAGAGGAATTGAGGAATGTAAAGAGGCTAAGAGAGTCCTAGAGCAAATGACACAGAATGAAAACATTTAAAGCCTGCCTTGTGCTGGTAAGGGTAATGAAACATGATTAATTCTCCACCCTTATTCCATTTGCAGATACTCAGCCAAATTTAGGTGACCTGATCCCTTCTCAGAGTCCATCTACAAGGTCACTGTGAAGATTATGCTGTGCATCTAGGACATGAAGTCACTTGCATCTACACTGGACTCCAACTCTAGGGCAGTGGAGGCTACAGGGGCTAAGTTTTGCAAGGTTATCTGGAGGATCCCTTTGCACCTGAGGAGGTGGATAGAGTTCTTGCAGCTGCTAGTCTGGCTACCTCTGTGTTAGATTAACGTTTTTTCTGGTTGGTTAAGGCTGCCAAGGAGGGGATGCATGATTACATCTGGGTGGTAGTTAATAATTCCTTGAGGGAAGGGATGGTTACGCTGGCTCTTAAGCAGGCAGTAATGTGCCTTCTCCTGAAGGGGTCAGTTCAGTCACATGGATTGATGTGGATTATATCTGGGCCCTTTCATTCAAAATTCAGGATGGGTTATGGGAGTGAAATCACATTGATCAGATTAGTAGATTACACCTGCTGGGAGCAGAATGGGGGCAGTGTGACTATCCTCACTCTTCTTGATTTCTCAGTAGCTTTTGATATCATCAACGATATCCTTCTGGACTGGCTTTGGGAATTGGTGGAAGGTAGTATTCTGTTGTGCTCAAGTTCCTCCTTCCTCCGGATAGTTCCAGTCAGTGTTGGGAGGAAGGCCCTTACCCATCCCTAGCTGAAGCTGACATTGCATATTCAATGACCATAAATGACCATAATAGAGATAAGTCTCTGCTTCCATTTGCCTCCAGTCGTCGAAGCCTCTTGCATGTGTTACTTGCTTCATTGTTTATTTCAACAGTTAGAACAATTAACCAGTGGAACAACCTGCCTCCAGAAGTGGTGAATGCTCCAACACTGGAAGTTTTTAAGAAGAGATTGGACAGCCATTTGTCCAAAATGGTATAAGGTTTCCTGCCTGAGCAGGGGGTTGGACAAGATGACCTCCAAGGTCTCTTCCAACTTTATTATTATTATTATATGTATCCTTAGCATACTGACTTGTTTGGCTCTCAAGCTTATGAATATAATTAAGAAATGGCCATTTCTTAATGTAGTAGTTTATAGTTATAGTTTATCTGGATTTGATGTACAAGGCCTGCAGCTCCTTCAATTCTCAAAAGCATACCTGTGCATTTCCTTATTATAAAAAGTATAATTCATGACAGTATACAAGATATCTATAGAAGTGTTATCAATACTGCAAGCATTTTAAATGCATGCTTCACTGAATCAAACTAACACTTCTTACATGATACATGACCTACAAAGCTCCTTATATAATCATTCTATCACACTAAATGAAATGTATGATTTATGATCTGTATGAAATCAATGGCCTTGCATATTTAGCTTGTCACTGAATTGTGTTCAA